TTGTACTGCCAAATTTCCATGTCATATTCCTGTAGTCATTGTATCTATCCATCTAGCCATTTAAGTGGAATTTTGAGATTAATCACTCATCTTAATGAGGTAATGTGAATTTCCATCCACAGAGACAGTAGTAGATCAGCAGTAATAACAAAGCAGTGGAAGATCAGCAGTAATAATAAAGACAAGCAGTTTTTTCTCGTGAGAAAGTAGTTTACCTCTGCCTTTATTGAGGCTTTTACTAAAAAAAGGCAATAATATGCCCCTGTCATCAGTTTCTCTGTGAAAGAATAACTCCATCCCATTTATTGCTGCTGTTTGTGTTGAGAATAAAGTTGTACTGAGGTTGTAGATAAGCTAAAATATTTTCTTAATAGAAGTAAAAGATATTGCATTTTATAATTAAAATGGAGATGTCAAAAATTAAATGATGAAATAGCCTCTGGTTTCAACTCTCTAACCAATGAAAAATTAATATCATTGGATTTAAATATTTTATAAAAGAACTTAGTTCCTAAATATCCAAATGATATAAATGCTACAGATATTCTCCATAAGAAATATCTGTTTTTATAAATCAACGATATTCCAGTAATTCTGATGCCTAAAGCAAAATCGGACCTTTCAAAAATAATTTAGGAATAGTGTTATTCAGTCATTTTTTACATCGGAAGTTAATCAGAAGTTACATATTCTTTAGGTTACCAGTTACTGAGATATATGAAAAAAGTTAAAAAGTTAAAAAAAAAAAAAAAAAAAAAAAAAACTAAAATAAGAAATGTATGCAAAATCTTACCTTGTCCCTCCAAAAAACTTTCAAACATCACTATTTTCTGTGTACAATATTGTTTAAATATTAAGTGAATTTTGAAAAAAAATTTTTGTTGATTTTATTTGTTAAAAATAAAAGAAACTAAATAAAAAAAAAGCTTTGATATTAATGTAATACTTTTATATTAATTGTAGTACTATTCATTTTATTTCACTGTTATTTGTTAGTGAATTTTGAAAAAAATATTGATTTTATTCGTTAAAAATAAGAGAAACTAAATTAAAAAAAGCTTGGATATTAATGTAATACTTTTATATTAATTGTAGTACTATTCATTTTATTTCACTTTTATTTGCTGTTTATCAAAAAGGTACTTTTAGCATTTTCATTTAAAAATTATAATTTTTTTTTTTTTTTTTTTTACATAGGTTATGGCATGATTTAATATATTATAAGTCCAAAATTCGGACTCGCCTGGGACTTCGGCGATTCGGATTTCGGATTTTCCGGATATTAGATCATCACTTTAAATGTAATAAGATAGAATGCAGAAATTATAAAATTAAAAATATGAAACTGCTATTTGCAAAATAATGAAGTATTTATGGTCTAAATGGTATCAAAATTTACAAAAAAAAAAAAAAAAAAAAAAAAAAAAGCTTAATATTTATTTGTTTCCCTTATTAAACATTTCTTTCAATGTAAGTTGATTAAGTTGCTTCATTTTTTGTGCTAATACTTTTTCTTTAATTCTGTAGACAGACATAATCTCTTGTTTAGTTAGTTACATTGTGGAAGTCCTGTAACTGCTGTGTCGAGAATTCCCACTAACTTGTCAATCGAAATTTTTTCGGTTTCAGTATCTTCTCTGTCATTTTCTTCATTATCGGTAGCGGTATTTTCTGGATGTAGAACCATACTACAGATTTCACTATTCATAATTGGATTGATATTGAGAAGCATTGTCATCACAATGAAAGACTTCTTTTATATCATCTTCATTTATTATTGCTTCTGCACATTTCTGTATAAAAATCCATTAATTGGAAAATTTCACTTTTGTTGTGCGATATCCGAAAATTTTTTTAATTTGTCATAAAATTTAACTATTTTTCACTATGCATATTTGGCTATTCATCATCGAGTCTTGGTGTCTAACGACAAGTTGTTCCATTAAATTTTATCTTTCTTCAAACGCGCACTGAAGCAAGTAAGCTTGAATTGTATTAGTTTAGTTATTTATTATACTTATGTCTATTTCTTGCACATGCTTAAGGCTTATCAGAGTTCTGAATATATAAATTCTGACATATACATCATGGCACTTATTGAGGGCCGGTACTAGATATCTTACTTCCTGATGCAGTCTCTGTAGGTCCTAAATTCTGCGACCCGGTGCTGGCTTACGAGCCCTGGTGCTGGTTCTGGGTTTATGTGAATAACAAATCAGTTATTCGTAATTCAAGTAGCCTTAAATGTAATCTTTGAGTCTATGAGTATTATTAACAAAATATATTTTAAGCAGAGGGAAAATTTTTGTTAAATTTTTCCTCCTCAACATATTTTAGCGCATTTAGCTTAAATCTGTAATCATCGTCAATCATTATGTCAACATAAAAGGTCACCATACTCCTTTGGTATTCAATTACCTTTGGTATCAATTACAATTTAGGCTTCGCTACATGAGACATTACTCAAGTTGTCATATGTTTAAGCGTGCGGTGATAAAGGAAAAGTTATAATAAATAATAATTCGTCAGGTTGGTGTCAGATCAACGATGTATCTATGTGGAATGTTTTGGTTTGAGATGTGTGCTGAGCAGATACGCAGCAACGGAGCAAAATTACTGATTGTTTTATGCTAAAATGATTGTTCTTTCAATAACAAGGTATTTTATGTAGTGTCAAAGTTAAGAATCGGGACTCTCCAGATGTTTTATTATGCAAGTAGGGGGGCATGAAATGCGTATGCATATAGCCTACGAGAAAAACTTTGTTGGTGCTTTTGAGGTCCGGATTTAAATCATTTTGGATAAAGGACATCCGGATTTTGGACTTTGTACTGTAGTTATCTTTATACTAAAAGTATACAGACACAGATAGAGGTGCACATTTACATCTTTGCCTAAGGTGAAAAAATACCTAGGCACGGCTCTGTGAATACTTGAAAAAATTGTTTAGAACATTGGGCTGTGAAAAAAGATTTAAGAAATGTGAGATATGTTGTTTCTTTCTTATGTGCAATAAAAAGTATAATCATTTTATTTATTTTCATGATATTTTCAATGTATTTAGGTATAAAATCTTTCATAAAGGCATCCTTTCCTTTATACAGATAGCCATCTTGTCTTATGTCATATCCAAATAGTCTAATTTACATATTTAGATGTACTGTGTTTAAATCAATACATGCTGCATATATAAAGTTGTAATTTTCAGATTTTTTTTTTTGGTAGGTAAATGCATTGGACCACTGTGTATAATAGTTTGAAATTGTATATTACCTCGTTAGAAATATATTAATTAAGTTGTTCTAGTGCTTATACATTTTAAACTTTTTAATGCATATATTAAAATAGTTACCATTACTTGTTGATTAGCAAAGTCATTTAATTATCAGCCATGTTGAAAATCTTCAACATGGCTGCCAATTAAAACTCCAACATGCTCCAACTGCGCTGCCAATTAAAAACATGCACTACACCAACCAACGAGCAATTAAACCACTCCAGCAAAAGAGTTTTCAACGTCAAAAGGGTTGCCTTATAACACACAATCGTTCTAAAAACCAGCGCAGAACACGTATCACCACATTTGGTGATCTTAGGGCGCGTATAAGAGCCTTAATTTTTTTATATTGAACTGCTGATTACATTTCTCAGAAGTATATTAATACAATCAAAAGTCGTTAATTCAGACACCCATAATCCGGACCTCAAAGCTACAAACTTTCTGCGCATGCGTCGCGTTTACGCATGCGCGTAAGACCTTTACGGCTGCGAATATGTGTGTATGCTCAAAATACGTTTATGCACGTTTAATGTATAACGGGCGGTATAAGCTAAGCTAAAATTATATAATTCAGTTAATGCTGCAGATTGCGTTGTTCCTTAATTTTCCAATTAATTTAATTTATAAATATAATTTATAAAAGTAAGCTTGAACTTTCGATTATGTCAAATAGAATTTCCGATAAAATTTACTAATATGTAAAGGATCTGCAAAGCGAAAGTATGTTTTGGAAGTCCTTAAACAAAAAGTGGAATGCTGCAAAAAATGGATAAAAGCATATCATTTGTTTATCTAACCATTCCGAAATCTGTTTATCAATTTCACACTGCTTAACGGCGGGGGGGGGGGGGGGAACGCCGCGGCACGCAATGAATTGAAAGTTGATCTGTCAGCACTATCCTTATCTTCAGGGCAGATGTTTTTATTTTATTTGGCTTATAATTCCTTACTAAATGTAGTATTTCATCTCGATGTACTCCGTCTTTGATATGATTTAAATCAAATTCCTCATCATTATAATTCGCTTCCGATAGCGAAGAAAGTAAAGTAAACAAATAAATATTAAGCTTTTTTATGTAAATTTTGATACCCTTTAGATCATAATTGTTCTTTATTTCATAAATTATGGTTTCATATTTTTAATGTTATAATTTCTGCATGCCATCTTGCCAGATTTAAACTGATGATCTATAATCCGGAATCACCGAAGTCCCGACGAGTCCGGATTAACGACTTTTGACTGTATTAACAACCTCTGTTAATTAAATTGTTGAACCTCTGTTGTATTTAGTTCAATTTTATTTTTTATTTATTTTTAATTCTTTTGAAAGATCTCTTCAAAACTTACCGATTTTGATTACCTTGGCAGATAACATAATTTTTCTTTTTATACAGATTTAACGTTTAAATGATTGTATTAAACACAAAATGCTTCGATTATAATTGGATATTAAATGTGAATATGTAGTTCTAGAAAGTTTGAATAACATTTATTATACATATTGCTGAATAGAAAATAAAACTTTCATAATTTTATGTATGTACCGAGTAACTGTTTTACCATAATTGATGGTAAATATTTTTATGTTAATGTAACGTATGATGACTATACATTATGGCTAAGTAAAAGTGACTAAAAAGTATTATCATTTTAAATATCTATACATATTTTAAGAAGTTTATGCAGATTTGCTATAAATTATGCATTTAATTTTGGCAGGAAATGTTAAAAGATGAAGTTCGAACTATGACTTACAGAAATGCCATGTACCACAACAAACATTTGTTTCGTGGAAAAACTGTGTTGGATATTGGCTGTGGAACTGGAATTTTATGCATGTTTGCTGCAAAAGCTGGTGCTGCTAAAGTTTATGGAGTATGTAATAATTATTTAAGAAAAATTTTCTTGCAAATAATATTTTCTAATAATTTTACTTTTAAATAAGTAAAAATATTGTCTGAGTAAAATATTATCAGAGGCCTTATAATAAGTCCTTAGCTTCATAAATATATAAGTAACATATAAGTAACTGTAATTCATTTAATTTGACTGTGTTTGAAGAGTTTGATAATATATTTGAGTTTTTAATAAGAAAAGATTATAAAATAATTATATGTAATGATTTTAATATGTGAAAAAGACAAGAAGCTAGGTTCGTATGGTCCTTAAGAATCCTTAAAAGTCCTGTTTTTTGGAATCGATTTTTGGTCTGTAAAAGTCCTTATTATCATCCAAAATTGGCAAAAGGTCCTTGATTTTAATATTCTGAAATTTCTGTTTGTTTTTAGAAATACCATTTTAAGTGTGAATCAGCATTTTGGAGGAATATTTTTGATGATTCACTGACATGTATGCTTATCTTTCTATCATATCTTATCATGGGTTATAATTTGTTCCTATTTTTAATATAAACGATGGAATACTCGAGTTTCTGGGCAAGAAGTGAAAAATAAGCATTTTGAAATTTTGGGAATGTGAATTCTTTTATTAAACAATTTTAAATTTGATGACTTATCAATATTTTGGTGATTTTAAGATCAGTTTCTATGGAAAATTTTCAATTCGGAGATATGGCAATATTTTGACGATTTTTGCCAGATTTTTTTTAAAACATTATAACATGGATAAATTTAATTAAAATAATGGTGATCTATTGAAATTATATTTAAGAAATGACATTAAAGTAGAATATTTTTATTTTTCACTGTCTATTATATTATACAGTATTTTGAATCTGAAAAATAAATAAGGTAATAAATGTTATAAAGCACAGTTTATGAAACAGTTCTTGCAAAAGCAAAATAGCTATATAATTAATTAAAAATGTTTTCTTTTAAAATTTTTCATGGTAAGAGTTTTTCCCCATGTGATTGTCTCAGAATATACATCAGGTTTTCTCTGTAAAGTGAATTTTACTTTGTTTTACTATGACTTTAAAAAAAATTTTTTTTTTTTTAAAATATTTTTGGCTTTTTTGCTGCTGCAGAATCGGTAGGAGTAATTTTTCTTTAAGGATTTTAGACCTTGCAACTTGGAAAGTTTATAAGGATTTGAAGGCAAGATTTATAGAAACACGATTCTAGAAGATCTAGAAAATGTTACAAAATGAAAAAGGTTTTCATGGTATTAACACATAATGGTACTTTTTACTAGACACAAACATGGAAAATATCAAAAATGTTTTTAATCTAATCGCATAGACAGGCATTTACAGAAAGGGATTTTTCTATTAATAAAGAAAATTAACAATGTTAGAAGAATCATTTTGTATGTCTCAATGCATCATACACAGGGCTGATGCTAGGCATTTTCCCAGCTGATGCAATCTCTGCAGATCCTAAATTCTGCTGCCTAGTGCCTGTCCTAAATTCTAAAAGTTTTACCAATTCTAGATTTTGTTGCTTGATGTGTCACTAAATTCTAAAAATTCTGTCTCACTGGCTCTGTTAGTGGCCATTACCATATATCAGTTTGAATTTATTCTTAATATTCATATTATTAAAAAAATAAAATTAGCATCTTTTTCTGTACATTCGAAATGCATTTAGTTTTTTAGAATAGCGGAAATCATTAATTAAACCCCAAAATTCTAAAATGAAGAGAAAACATATTGAAGAATTTTCCATTCCGCACCAGAATGCGAATCAATTTATTAGATTTGAAACTGAGGTATTTGGATTGCTAGATAGAGTGTGTTTCTGGGCTCTGCTTCCACATTGCATTAGTTCCTGCTGGCTCTGATAATTTTTTATTATTCGTCTTTGCATTGCTGCCGATATTTGAATTTGTTACAGCAATGAGAGTTACTGAGCAAGCTTATGTTAAAAGTAAATTGTGTAGTCTTTGACTATTAATCCATATTTTTTAGTTTGAATTTGACTGTTCCTGTTTAATTAACATAACAACAAGTTGTAGTCAGGTTTATTAGCATAAATACCTTTATGTTTTATGTTTTAAATTATTTTTTAATTAGAGGTTTATTTAAACTTTTATGATTTAGTAGTTACTTTCAGGCATAGTGATAATTTGTTTCATGTCTATCAGGGGTTTTGAACTATTTGCCAGATTAAGTAAAACCTCATAGGTACACTATTGAGAGATTGACAAGTTGGGAGATAAAACATACAGAAACTAATGGAACATTGGTTTGCAAATTGAAACAAATTTCTGATTGTTAGAAAAGATGCTTAAAGAGAAGGAAATTGATACAACTTGGTCAAAATATCTGGGAAGGCTTCAAATTAAAAACACACATTGTGTAATTATCCTAATATCTTTTAAGAATCAATGTCATAAATTACTCGCATTTTTAACTGAAAAGTTATCACTTTGTGATTTTAATAGTGCTTTTTTAAAAAATAAATAAAATTAAATAATGGCCATTTAAACCTATAAGGACTAAGAATATCTAACTGCCTAATTTAATTATTTCTAACTAACTGCTCACCCTTAAAAGTTATCTCTGCATATTAAAGCGAGTTATTGCCTTAATTCTTACCATGTCACAAGCTATAGCACAAAAATGTAAAACTTACTCCAGGAACTGTATGTGAAGCTACAACACTAACTGCGTCTTGACAACTATGTCTACATCATGCTGTCAGATTTGTTCTGATCAGTAAGGCTGTCTCTAGGCAAGCAGCAGCGGTGACAAAAGCCAGTCTTCTGTTAGAAATTATGCTGATTATAATTTTACTTCTCATTTTAATATATGCTGTTTGACATAAAATCTACCTATTTACTAAACCTTTAGATTCAGTAAGTTTGTGACAAAGGGAGACATAAAAGAAAAAATCACCATAAGGTTAACTCTTAATAAAATGTAAATAAAGTGTCACTAATCTTCTTAAAAATATTTCCATATATTATGAGTGTAAAGTATTTAATGCTACGATAAATTTCATAAATTTGATTTTATTCTCAAATTTGTTTTATTATTATGTTTATTAAAGTATGTTTAATAGGGATGCATCCTCTTTACGGATCTATTTTATTCTTAGACTGGTATTATAAAGTGAAGTTCATGCATAGATAATATTTTAATTGAATTTATCAAGTTTTCATTTGCTGATAGGTCCTTCCTTAAGAGTACTTAATTTCCATGTGCAGAAATATGTGTATGAGCCCTGAAGAAGCCAAATGAATTTCACTGTCAGTTACCATAGAGAGGGAGTCATTCTTGCAACTATACAGATTACGAATTGGTGGTAACAGTTGCAAAATTAAAAATGCTGCATGTCATATTCTAAAATATAACTAGTGTTGTGTTCACATATTTTACTAGTTGCTCGCAGGCCCAGGCTTGAGTCTAGAATGCACAGTTATATTAAAGATAATTAGTAATAGATATTGCTGCTATCAGAATAAAAATTTAATGAATATCTTCATGGAAGGTTAAAAAAAAACCAAGTTGAAAATGAAACACCTAGCTTTAAAAATTTTCTTTTGGATTATTTTTAAATAGATATCTTTTGGCTGAAAAATAAGGAAAAAATTAAAGTTCTTGCTGAAAAATATAGTAGTAGGTAATAGTTAAGTGTATTCAGAAAAACCTGTAAATACAGAATACTGGAGAACGAGCATGCAAATTCATATGTAAACCAGCAGTAAATTTTTTTATCTTTCTTTTCACATTTTGAAATATTACACCAAATTCTGACAAGCAGTTTTGGCAAGCTTCAGATGTATTATGGGTATTTCAGTTCAAGGAAATGTTTTACCATATAAAACGTGCTGTTCCAATGAGTCTTCACATCTAAGATGACTTTTAAGTCTTTTCTCTCCTCACTAGAGCACAGATATTTTCGCAGATTTTTTGCAGCGAATATTACTTCTCCTGTAAACTATCACAATATCCCTAATTTTTGTTAGAAGGAGGTCGTTAACCTCGTTTAGAGAATTTGTGACAGCCAAATTGAGAGAGTGTGCAATGCATCCTAAATGTTTTAACTTTAGTTCGCTGTCGACAGCGTTAATCATAGTTTTGGCATTGTAAGTCACTATTAAAGACACTTTTCCATCAATCGGAAGATATGGTTGGCAAATGTGTATGATATTTTCTGCAATATTTTTGGCTGAATGACGTTCATCAAAAATTGAGCATCAATCAGTACCGTTTTCCTTTGCATGTGTTCGTCAATAAAATGGCCTATCACGGCCATGTAACTTTCAGCTGTTTTTTTGTTTGCTCCAACAGTCTACAGTCAAACAGATATTTTGTACAGCACTAGAAGAACGTTTTTTAAACTATTCTTTTTTTCTTCAAGCAGCAGGAAAAGCAAGGATTTAGAAATCGTTTTCCGTGAAGGTAAGGAATAGGTTGGATTCAAAGCCTTTGAGCCTTTGAGTCTCGGAATTCCTCATTTTCTACAATACTTATTGGTTGTAAATCCTTATATACCATTTTTGATCAGTGCGCGATCGATTACTTTTTTTTTTTTTTTTTTATGTACATCCATCGTATTTCTCTGGACAAACTGCATTATTGCTGGACTGGGATTTTTGTGAAAATACATCCACAATATCACAAGCACTGTTGTCTACCGTAAGTTGGAAAGTCTGCTGGGATGTGCATGGTTGCCCACCATCTGCAGCGGCTAGTGACGACAGAACGGGCTGGAGCGGCATCAATATATCATCAATATCTTGATTCGGCAAAGTGCGTTTTTCGTGCAGATTTACACAAGGATGCTTCCTTTGTAAATGTTTTTTTAAATTTCCTGTTGAACTACCTTTGATGGATAAAAGGTCTTTACAAATGTCACACATAACTTTTTCGTTTTCATTAGTATTGGAAAAGTGCTGCCAAACCAAGCTGAATTTCCTTTTCTCACTAGACAATTTGTAATTCGCTTTTTTTTTTTTTTTCCCTGAGGCGTAAGAAACTGATAGAGACTAAGCATTCTATATTAGCCGATACTCACCAGTACGAGACACAATGAATCTTGTCTTGTGGAAAGTGACGAAGTTGGGAGATGGTCATCAGCATCGTCAGATAAACATAAAAAAAAGTCTATTAACGACTTCCGCTGTTCACTCCATCTGCAAATTCTAAAATCAGTACTACGCTGTGAAAAGGGTAAGTGCAATTTGCCTAATAATATTAATCAGGCATGAAGAGCAAAAATGCAAAGAGGGACATGTATGTTTACATAAACATGTTCCGGATAATTTCCGGTGTTCTATTCGATAGTCCCCCCCCTCAGATAAGCTCCAGAGGATCCCCCCCACACAACGAATGGCCTTTCGAAAAACTTCCACTATTTCACACTCGTCCTCCCGTGCACACAAAGGCAATTAATTATACTACTCTCAAACTCTAGTTTGAGGAGTCTAACTATACTCCTCAAACTCTAGACAAACGAAACGGAAGTTCCCCCCTTTCACGTTTGCCATTCCATGCCCTATTTCATGCAATGGTCATTCATGGACACAAGGAACACATATCCATCGTTTTCGCAAATACAACCAGATACTATTGTCCTCGTACCAAAATTGACGTGAGCTGAAACCGTCATCGATCCTCCAGTAATGAATACCGAAATACCGAGAGAGACACATATTTTCGTTACAAAGTAGCGAATACCGTGTTCGGAAACGAAGTACACCGTTTCGGTACAGAAGTAACGAATACCGAAAAGTACCTGTTTCGGTACAGAAGTAACAAATACCGAAAAGTACCGATTTCGGTATTGAAGTAACGGGTACTTGGATGTACTGATTTTCAGTACCCGTTACAACTAAGTACTCGTTACAAAATACCCAGTTCAGTAGTACCGACTCATCACTACCGAGGAAATGCAATTTTTTTTTTTTTTTTTTTTTATATGCTTAACTATCTGGAATTTTCACATATTCAGCTTTCAGCACATCCCAAGATTTCCAGATAGTTGAACTTTTACTGTACTTGTGTCTTTTTCTTAATTTAAGTCTTTCAAATAGCCGAGTTTCATTAGTTACCTGCTATTTATTTAACATGCATATATATGTGCAGTTGTATGCAGAAAAGTCAGTTTATGGGGTTTTGCTGAAAGTATAACCTGATATTTAACCATGATTTTATTTTACTTTTAGATTGAATGCTCAAGTATTGTAGAACATGCTGAACAGATTGTCAAAGACAACCACCTGGATGATAGTAAATATAAAACTTTATTTGAATAAAGATTTAGTACTGGTATTTAGTAAATTTAAATTCTGAATGTCTTGTTAAAGCACAACTGCTTCATATTAAATGTTAATGCCAGCTAATTAAATGTTTGTGTAGTAATGCTTCTTTAACTGCATAACAGGTTTTTAAAGCATATTGTTTTGATATCATTTAATTAACAGTAATATCTTTTAACCGCTTCCCTTACAAATTTTTTTGAAAAAAATTGCAAAAAATCATCACATTTTTTTATTTTATTATTAAATACAACAAAATGAAACAAATCAAAGTATGTAGGTTTTAAGTTGAATTTTTAATTTTTTGAAGGCGTAAAAGCATTTATTTTTAATATTAGTTTAACTATCCCGAGTTATATCGAGGCAAACGAAAATAAAGTTAAATATTAGTCTTTGTATGATTGTTTTTGAAACAAGGGAACAACACAGAAGTGATACCTGACATTCTACACTGGTATCTGGTCTCTTTTCTTACTGGCTTACCGCTGGAATCTCTTTCACGGAAGCACAGAGTACACTATCTCGTTGGATTTGATTTTTAAAAAAAAAATTTTCCACCTCTTTATAATCACTATCTGAAAAATCATCGCTTTCGCTATCTTGCCATCATCGCCATTATTTTATTTTTTTTTCCAACGCATGTATCCTTTTTTATGCATTACTTAATCCACAAGCTGAACGTATACAGTAAACAATAGGGAAACACGTAACCAGTCCCTTCCAAAAAAAACTATGCAACCAACAAAATTTGGCAAACTGCCAATCAAAGCTGAAATATTTCCTTTAATTTCCTCCGACCGAGTAAAATCGTGATAAAAGAAATCATACTAACAAATTCTGCTTCGCCCGAGTTTTCTCGGGATAATAATTAACTGCAATATGTACGAACCCGAGATAACTCGGGATAATCAGGCAAGCGGTTAAGTAACATTAATCTCAGAATTTTTAAAAAAGGTAATTTGTATATGAAACAGTATCCCTTAGTCTCAAAGTAATGTTTTAAATTTTTTAAAAAAAAAATTTCTTGTTTTTTTTGCATGTTATTATCAAATGTAAACAAAGGCAGTCTAAAGCGGGGAGGAACTCTGCTGTAAATGATTTTAAATAAAATTCATATGTTCAGATTCTTCCCTTTCTTTTTCATGTTAGATATATCCTCTGAAATATGTATCAAAATATTCGAAATTTTAGACCAAAAGGAATTAGAATGGGATATTAGTTACGGCATTTTGCACAGAATCACTGTAAAGGATGTACCACTTTTCACATTTTTGCCACCAAATATTTTTTGCCTGTATTATATTAAAAGAAATTAAATGTAGCATGTTTCTTGCTGTGTGAAAAAACAACAGTACTTAGAGCCGTGAGATTTTTAATAGTATAGTCCTCCACCCGAACTTTGGCATCTGTAAGCACAAATTTGGAATTTGTTTTATTATCTGTTTCATATTTTGTAAAACTTCAACACATTTTTGATTAACAAACTCGGTGATTTCAAAGCAAGCAGTGACAACAGTGTATTGGGGGGATTATCTATAGTGCATAAGACTGCCCATCAGAAATCCTAAAGATATGTTTTTAAATATTTTGTGATTTTGCTGTTGAATTGAATTTTGTGTGGCATAAGTGCCAAGAACGTGATATTTAATAATAAAGTAAACAAACAAAATGTTATTAATAAAATGACAAAAAAAGTTTTGTAAAGCCAGTAAGAAAACTGAACATTTATGATGAACTGAAAGAAGACTTGGGGGGGGGGTGAAACATTTGCCCAACACAATGTAATTTCTACACAAATTTTTGTAATTTTGTTGTTGAAATGTATATTGCGTTAGTGCAAAGAATGTGATCTTAAAAATAAAGCTTAAAAGGGAAAAAGATGGTTAGTAAGAGTGAATGTAATAGCAGACTGGTAGATTGCAAGCTCAGCAAGAATGTAAAAAACCTTAACAAACAAACCCTTTTGGACAACTGTTAAAATCTGAAACCGTTCACATTCGTATTATTCTTTTTTTTTATTTATTCAGAAGTCATCTGATTTTTATTGTAACTTTTTTTGAAGCATTAATACTTTTTGTTGTTTTAACTGAAAATTGATTTTTGGTTAGATCAGCACATATATGTCTGAAATGGATATCAGATGGTATAAAAGAGACAGACTGTCACTGACAGTACTGTAGATTTCAAAATATAAGACAATGCAAATGAAAAAGTGGGTGTGGTTATCAAAATAATCAACCAATAAACTAAAATAATCAACTAACCATGGATGTCATCAGTCTGTTATATTTTAGCATATTGACATTTATTTTGTGTTTGTATTTCTTTGTTTCTTGAATTTGCAATAGTGATTAGATGGAATAATTTGCTTCAGGAAACCTTGTTATTTTTTCTGAAGAATTGTTAACTGCTATTAAAACATGTTCTGAAGGGTACAATTAGGAGTACCTTTGAATTGTGTAGTTTTGTTTATATGAGATTTTGGAGTAAATACACTGAACTTTTTTTTGAGCTTTAGAGCAATTTAAAAGATCTAATATACAAATTACAGTAATTTACAAATATAAATAACTCTTGAATTCATAAAATATATACATCTTCTAAGGTATTTCATTATTTGTTACTATAAAATGTATACACATCTGTTATAAAAAGTTTAAACTCAACAATCAAAAATCCATTAATTGGAAAATTTCTCCTTTGTTTTGCGATATCCGAAAACATTTAAAATTAGCAGCTGTCATGACCAAATTTAGCTATCCTTCACTATACGTATTTGGCTATGCATCATGAGCTTGGCGACTAACGACAAAGAGTTCCTTTAAATTTTATCTTGCTTCTATTGTGCACGGAGACAATTAAGCCTGATTTGTAATTGTTAGCATGCAAGATATGCAAAGCAGTGGCAGTGATTGAAATGTAAACAAGTATAAAGATAAACCCAAAAAATGTGCATTGAAATAATTATGCACTCATCTCCTGTGCTAATATTGAGATGAGCTGTAGTAGTTTGAGTATCAGTGTTAAATGCATGATGTCTTTTGTCGGCTGAAGGCATCATAGATGAAAATGTCACAGAAAAAACAATGCAAGGTGTAAATGTCGTTGTACAAACATCGTAGAGAAGGTTGAAACATTTCTCAGTTTAAAAACATTGCATTAAAAATATCATAGTAAAAAATAAGCACAAATCATAGCGTGCTGATAGCAATACAGACATGTGTTTTTTTTCACCTTTAAAAGCTGTAACTGCATATTCACATAATGATTTGCAAGGGCAAGAAGGAATGAGGAATATTTGTAAATTTGAGTCTTCCCAATATGATGTAAAAGCAGTTAGTTTCCTTTAATCTTTTAAACACCACACTATGATGCGAAGGTAATATACATTTTGTAATGAAAAATCAATTTAAAACTCAAATATAAGAATTATGGGGGAAAAAATTTAAATAAAAAATAAAGATTTATAACATGTTCCAGAGATGGAACACTGGCGGGAAACAGCTTTTTTTACATAATAAACAACATTTAAATTAAAAACGATATTTTTGTCCGCAATTTTTTGCTATTAGTAACTGAATTTTTAAACGTTATTTGGAAATAACATTGATTAAGCAGAAAAATAGGCAGGCTACAACCTTAGAATAACAAAGCAACTTCACCAAAGTTTCTTAGGAGAAGAGATAAAGCTTCCACAGGAAAAAAGCTTTCTCAGTAAATTAAAACAAAGTTACATAGTTGATAAGAAGGAATTTATAAAATAATTGTACAATAATAAATAGCAATTTATGTTAACATTTTAGCCGATTACCTGGCCGTAAAAGGGGTCTATTGATTCATCTATACTCAGTTTATAATGAAAGATGCCGAACTGCTGAAAATATTTTCGAGTTCTCTATGAAAAGAACCTTTTCCCACTTTATCTCCTAATGCTAACGTGGTTATCTATAATGTGAATATTAAAACATAAATACTATCAATCATAAAATTCACCTTGGAAATAGACTATATAAACATATGGTATGGATGAATATAGCACAGTAGTATAGATTTATTTTCTCTTATGGTTCTCAAAATATATTTTTTACAAGCTTGTTTTACTGTAAGAATGCATGTGATTGTCTGTAATTGTGTATCATCTGTCATTTGTGTTATATAGTACAAAGTCCGAAATCCAGACTCATCGGGACTTGGGCGAATCCGGATTTGGGATTTTTCCGGATATTAGATCATCATTTTAAATCTAGTAAGATGGCATGTAGAAATTATGAAATTAAAAATACGAAATCATGATTTATGAACTAATGAAGTATTTATGATCTAAAGGGTATCAAAATTGACAAAAAAAAAAAAAAAAAAAAAAAGCCTAATATTTATTTGTTTACCTTATTAAACATTTCTTTCAATGCAAGTTGTTTGAGTTGGTTTGTTTTTTGTGCTAATACTTTCTCTTTAATTCTGTAGACAGACCAAATCTCTTGTTTAGTTACATTGTTGAAGTCCTGTAACTGTGGTTTCGATAATTCCGGCTAATTTGGGAATTGAAATTTTCTCATTTTCAGTAACTTCTCTATCACTTTCTCAACTATCGGTAGCGGTATTTTCTGGATCTAGAACCATAATACAAATTTCGCCATTCATTAATTGATTGATGATTGAGAAGCATTGTCATTACAATGAAAAACTTCTTTTATATCATCTTCATTTATTACAGCTTCTCCACATTTCTTTAATCCATTAATTGGAAAATTTCTCCTTTGTTTTGCGATATCCGAAAACGTTTAAAATTAGCAGCTGTCATGACCAAATTTAGCTACCCTTCACTATACATATTTGGCTATGATGCATCATGAGCTTGGCCACTAATGACAAAGAGTTCCTTTAAATTTTATCTTGCTTATATTGTGCACGGAGACAATTAAGCCTGATTTGTACTAGTTTATGTATTTATTATACTTAAGCCTTATTGAGGGCTGACGCTAGATATCTTACTGCCTGATGCAGTTTCTGTGGGTCCTAAATTCTGCGACTCGGTGCGACCATACGAGCCTTAGCGTTGGTTCTGGATTTATGCGAATAACAAATTAAGTTATTCCTTATTCAAATAGTCGTAAATGTAATCTTTGGGTCTATGAGTATTATCAACAGCATTTTTGGTAAAAAAAGAATTTTTTAAAGAAAAAGAAAATGTTTGGTAAATTTTTCCTCAATCAACACTTTTTAGTGCATTTAACTTAAATCTGTAATCATTGGCAAGTGTATTGTCAACATAAAAGATTACCATACTGCTTTATTATTCAATTACTAACATAAAAAAATTATTTAGGCATCGCTACATGAGTCATTACTCAAGTTGTCATGTTTTGATAAACATGCAGTGATGAAAGAATAATAAATAATGATTCGCCAGGTTGGTGTCAGATCAACGATGTATCTATGTAGAATGTTTCGGTGTGAGATGTGTGCCAAAGCAGATACGCAGCAAAGGAGCCAAATTACTGATTGTACAAATTTATGCTAAAATGATTGTTTCTTCAATGACAAAGTGTTTTATTTAGTGTCGAAGTGGAATTAAGAATCGGAACTCTCCAGATGTTTTATTATGCGCTGAGGGGGGGGGATTAAATGCGCATGCGCAAAGCTACCAGAAAAAATGTTGGTTGTTTTGAGGTCTGGATTTTAGATCATTCCGGATAATGGACGTCCAGATTTCGGACTTTGTACTTCTGATATTGCTTAGTGAATTAGAAACATTTACTACTGAAATTTGCTTTTTTTGGGGGGGGGAGGAAAGCACTTCTTTTGTGGTGCATTTTTATAAAGTCTACCTGATTATATTATAACCTGTGAATTTAGACTACTTTGCAAGAAGTTTTGACTACTTGTGAGTTGTATGGTGGTGTGCTAGTTCTGAGTATGCTTAGCATGCAAACATTAAGTCTAGCACAGTCTTCCCACTTATTTAAAGCTTTAGCAAACATAAAAACTGTATATATAGTAATCTAGTGGATGTAATTAATAGTAAAGTATCAGATGTTTTCCTTGCCTCCCTTTATATTCAGTAGGCATGCATCTTTCACTAACGAATCTTTGATTGTTTAATGCATAAGCTTTACAATCACGACTTTTTTTTCTTTTCCAGTTTTGGAAACTGAAAATACGTTATCTTTCTCTTTTTTTTTTTTCTGTTTGTGTGATTTATGGTTTTATGCTAGGATTCTTTCTTTCATTTAAGGTATGCTTGGTATGATTTGATTATTTTTTTATTTTTGGAAGATGTAGGTATTCATAAAGGCTTTTTTGATATAAATTACTGGTAACTGCTTCTTTGCTTTAATACCATTTTGGCTTATTAAAAGTTTCCCAGGAACACTTTACTTTCATTAAGTGAGAAGAAATTGGTACATATGTACACTTAAGTGTCATAATTTACATGTTTATTTCTGTTTTATATCTACATTGCTGTCTTTCTTTCTTTAGCTATTACAATCATAAAAGGAAAAGTTGAAGAAGTTGAACTTCCACATAAAGGAAAAGTAGATATTATTATTTCAGAATGGATGGGCTATTGCTTGTTTTATGAATCCATGCTTGATACAGTCCTTTATGCCAGAGATAAATGGCTGGTATGTACTTTTCTCTTACCGATTCTTTCTTTAGTTATACACTTTTGTTAAGTCCATGTTAATCAGTTGCAAATTATAATAACACCTAAAATGCAGTGGGAATTTTAGATGTTGGATTTATATTGGGAGCAAAAATATGACCATCAAAGATTAATTTATAAAATTATAAGATTTGGACAGTATCACTTTCAGAAGTGACCTTCTCTAATTTTTTGAATAATTCAATATTTTTTCATTTAAAGATGTTTAAACAAAAATATATTTCAAATATGATCATCAAAAATTAATTTATAAAATTGGGACAGTACCACTTTCAGAGTGACCTGTATTTTTTGAGTATGGTAGGTATAATGAATGCAAATTATAAAAACTGTTATATAAAATAATCCAATAATTCAATATTTTTCAATTTTAAGTTTTTTACACAAAAATATATTTCACATTTTTGTACATTTTGTTTTCATGGTTTCAGCTTACACTGTGTATAAAAATATAAATTTATATGTTTTAACCAATGTCTTATTTTTTTCAAGTAAACTTAAAAAAAGATAAAATCCTAAACAATTTTTGTTCATTATAACAACAAAAATTTGTACTTAATCAATTAAATAAGGCAAAATAAATTCACTTGTTTTTAAATTTAATAATTTAGTATGTGGATAAAATATGAAATTACAAAATTCAGATTCTTTGCATCATGGAAGAAATAATTTTGGTTTGTTTTTTCCCTCCCATCAGAACAGAAATGTGCCATTCTTATTTTGAAAATTGTAAAATGTACCCAGAAAATAAATGATATTACTCACTAGCAAAAGTGTTAGACAACAGCTCCATGCCTGGTTTTTGAAAGACAAGAAAAATCCAGTTTTAAAATTTTATTCCTGCTCTTAATTTCATATTTTATAAACACAGGATTGAAAAAAATACATAAAATTTTGTATCTTACAAACTTTAAGAGAGGTTAGATCTGTGGCACATGTGTCATACTTGCCATTTCATTAATCAGACCATAAAATATGATGACTGATACAATTTTGGACATAGCAGAAAGACTTAAACTAAAAGCAACGTAATTTTATTATTGTACTTAACTTGGTTAAAATTCATTAATAGTGTGTGTGTATGTATGTATGTATGTTAAAAATGTATAGACCAAAATTCTAACTTTGATTTGCAATACAGTAGAAGTACAGAAATCCGCAATGCTTGGGAACAGAGGTTGTGCAGATTTCAGGACAGAAAAGATGATATTCAGACTAAAAGTGCAAAATAAATACATTTAATTTACATTTAGTTAAATTATTATATACATTAATACAGTAATTAATTATATGCATTAAATTATTATTACATATATAAACTGATTATATTATATTCATTTACATTATGCTCCTCTATTTTTAAATCAGCATGAATCTTGCTTCCCCTTTTCTCTCAGGAGTAGTCCTGAAATAGGTACCCCACCACTCCACCACTGCCCGAACCACTCGTACATCGAGGTTTGCCGATTTCACGTCATGTAAAGATTTCTGGTTTCGGATTCCAGTGTTAGAATCACTGCTGCTGTATCATACACAGTCTGTGTGGCAATTCCATACGATTCTGCTATAAACTGAGCAGTAGCACCTACCTCTATCTTTAGCAGAATTTCCACTTTTTCATTACCATCGATGAAACGTGTTTAAGTTTTTCAATGTTGCAAGTAGTAAAATCACGAGGGCGTTTCTTATCTGTCATTGTATTAAAAAGTGCTGAAATTAAAAACATTCTTAATTTATTCACAAAATATCCAGTTTAAGAAAAATGACATCACTAAACAATCTCGTGAAATAATAAAGCTCAGAAAGTACAACGTGAAGTGTGAACTTGAAAGAAGAGTTGAGTTAATTGTCTGCTTTTTTGTCTCAATGCAGATTGGAGGGAAAAAACTTTTATCATGATGTCAATAATTTGGTATTTCTGTTATAACTCATTATTATTCGGTAATTATGACATCATTATCCAGTAAGTATTTATTCTTCGATATTTCGTACTCCATGTTGCAGTTTCCGGAACCTATAAACTAAATGTTTATATTTTGAGCGGCAACACGGATTTCAGGTTCGCAGATTTTCGGTATTTGACTGTAGTCCATTAACTCTCCATTTAAATTTGGGTATTTTCTTTTTCTTTTCTGAAAATAGTAACTGCTCATAATAAATTGTTTTAAAATTAATCCATGAGTATTGCATAACATTAATGATGCTTAGGGCTTCAACCAATAATAATTTTAGAAAGTTATTATTATCCAATATAGAGTAAATTTGAACTGAAACTAAAATAATCTGAACCTGAATTTGATCTTAAACATGTCAAATTTGCTCTCTTACTTCGTTGCTGCCAACCTGCTAATGTTTGCTGCTTCAAATGTATTTAAAAAATCCATATGGTACTTACCGATGTAGTTCTTCAAGAACAGGTAGTTATTGCTCCACTTTATGCATTGGCTTGAAAATGTTTATCAGCAAGAATAGATACTAAAATCATTCATTGCTGCAACTAGTTCTTTGTGCATGTTCATGTCAACAACTTCTAAATAAGTATGTATCTCTCTGTATATATAGACACGCACACACATACATATGCATACAACTGAAAGAGAAAATATATATATATATATAGTACTATTCAGATAATCTTCATCAAACACATCATCTCTGAGTCTTCTCTGAGTCATCATCTTCTCTGAGTTTCTTTTCAATATTTAAGTTATTTAAAAATCTGTCTGAATGGAAAGTCTCTTTATTTTCAGAAATCTCAAATTAGGAAAATTGTCATAAAGCAGAGGTAGCATGCTAGTTTAACTTCAAAGTTTTGAGTAAATTTCAGTATGTGGTGTTTGAAAGAGTAATTTTCTTTCATATATTAATTCTTAATCTAGTCAAGAAAGGAAAAATACTCTTGTATTTCTGTGTCTAATTTGATTAATGTAATAAGCCATATATATAGCTGCATTTATCTGATATTAAACGTTGTGCACTTGTCCATTCCCATATAATATTGAAAATGCTGTCATATAATAGAATTACAAAATTTTAAAAATTAATAAAAATGGTTCAAGTGAACATAATATTAACAGTTTAAGAAACTGTTGATTTTGATAAACTGCTGCTTTGGAATGATTTTTGCCAGAACCAAAGATTTGATATGCAAGTATTGAAAGAAAAAGAAATGTACAGAATTTGTGAAACTGAATGGATAATGGGACTTAAAATAAAAATTATTAATTGTTAAATTTTCATGAAAAGCTGTAAAGTAGTAGAGGTGGTAAATACAAGGGCCAAGGGAAAGGCTACCAGAAAATTTTTTTCATATGGAAAGTGAAAAAAAAAATAATACATTTTTCATACCTTTAATAATATTTATTGTATGATTTTTATTGTTATAGCCTGTTACTAGTGTGATGGTAATACCATACTAGTATAATTGTAAATATCTTTTTTGAAAAACGTCTTGAAAGCTAAGAACTCAAGTAGTTCTTTTTCAATTTTGAATTTTGTTTCCTTTAAAAAATATTTGCTAAGAGAAACAAATGATAATCAAAGAGTGCTAGGTCTGGGAAGTGACAGAATTTCCCAGCCTAGCTGTGCAATTTTCAGATGAGTCAACAAAGCAGCATGTGATCTGGCATTATCATGATACAGTATGATGGGCTTCCTATTGAACATCAGTGGCCCCTTTTCTTTGATTGCTTTGTTTATGTCGTCCATTTGCTGACAGTATTCCTCTGAATTGAGCTTTTCTTTAGGTTTTAAAAGCTCATAATATATATCCTTGTATGTCCCACCATGTGCACAGAATTCTCTTATTCTGACTGAAACTCAATTTAGAGTTGAGGGGGCAGGTTGTTGTGGTTTACAGTGTGCTCTTTTTCTACTGATGTTTTTGTATGTTCTTTCTATCCTTAGTTATTATACTGCCCAAAAAGGGTTCGTTTTTGTTCCGAGAAACCAGAGATGTGCATGTAATAATAAAAGCACAGGAAAAACGGAACACTGTAGATGCGTAGTTATCCTATATTGAAGAGGAAGTAATCTGATTGCGTCGTAAGCTAATGTGTTGACTTCGTAAATAAAACTTGGCAGTAGAAGCGATTTTAATTCCATTTTTATTTGCACTGATATTTGTGGCCACAATCACTTGGCACTCTAGTCGTGCCTTTCCACAGAAGATTTACATTTTTAATATTGTTGGGATAGAAAGCAAGCCAGCGAAATCACATCTTAGCAGAGTAGCAAGCAAAAGCTGAAGTGCGTAGTTATGAAAGATGGAAGCACGCGAAGAGAAAAGTTTTGGTTTACAAGGTCAGTTTCAGTTCTTAATTATTTACGTCATCAGAGTTGCACGGGCCATAGAGTGATCTAGAAATGACGCAATGCAGAGAAGTTATTACGATTTTAGAATAAAGAGGAAGAATTAATGTTTTTAGTTATTCTGATTCATATAATTTTATCTTACATGCATATGTTGACTCGATCATGCAAATATTTCTTACTTGTGAGGCATTCATCTGGAATATTTATAGACCAATCCTAATTTCCTAGTTGCAGTCCAAAATGGCTTGTTGAGCTAATTTAAGCTTTTCCTCAATCACTGATATTGACAAAAAAATATCTTGCTCAGCCATGGTGTTGACAATATCATCATTGACCAAAGATAACTTCAAAGTTGCCTAGAGTAGAGTTTCTTAAACTGTGGGTCGCAGGACCTACACCAGGAGGTTGCCAAAAATTTTAGCAGTTTTGATAGTTCTTTGACTTATTGTAATAGTTTTACAATTACCAAATATTTTTACACAATGCATCTAAAAATAGATAAAGATGCAACAATACAGACAAAGAAAAAACAAAAACATTTTGATGCATTCTTTTTATAATATAAACGTTCATTTTACTTGCTTTGCACGTGAAACTGTTGTTTCATCTGTTACTTGATTAAAATTTTTATATTGTTCTATGTCTTAAAATTAGAAATTAAAGTTAGGGAACTGAAACTGCAATAATATTATGGTACAAGTGAAAAAATTGACAGTTTACTTGTGTGTCAGATTTGCACAATGCTTATGGGGTCCCACAAAATCATTGTAAATATTATGGGGTCCTGGGGGTCACGAAAAAATTCTCAGTGATAAAAAGGGGTCGCGGCTGAAAAAAGTGACTGACAGAAGCCCTCGCCTAGAGTATAGCTATAGCATAACTCACCTGCTTCAAATTTTTCAAACCGTCTCCTGCATGTTCTGTCCGAAACTGCATCTCTAGCACAAACTGTCACTAAATTTCGACATTCTGTTGTAGCATTTCTTCCTTGTGGGAATGATACAAAATATAGTGTCGTAAGCGAACTTCCATCTGCAGTTGTCTGTCTGTTTGTTATAGTGTGTTTAAGAATGGAAACAAAAGTTTTTTTTTTAAATTTAAAACAACAGCAACAACAACTTAAAATATGTCATTAAAATAATGCTTAAAAAATACTAGGTGCAGAAAAGTTTAGGTAGAAAAGTTAGTTTTAATTTGTGTGTATAAACTTCTCATTTTTCTTAGAAAGTAATTTAGCTTCGTCTTCTGAAAATTGCTTTTTGTTTGAAATTAATTGTTCTTAACCACTTAGTCATCTTTTATGAGTATTTTTAGCAGAAAGTATCCTGTGATTGTTAATATAAAAAGTAATTAATTATATTAATATTATAAATGATTAGTTATGCACAGTTATCTTAAGTTATGTGTAGTAAGAGCAGGGATGGGAATTTTCTGCTGCATGCCAGAATATAGTATCAAAGTACTTATTATATGATACACGTGCGATTTTGCAACATTATGATGAGCACTAAACCGGACATTTATGATGAGCAGTAAACAGGTCATTTTGGTGTTCGCGACAATTTTCAAAATCATGCCAAGACTGTACATACTTTAAGATTTTACCACAAAACCTTCTGAACATTTTTTCTTTTTAATAAATGTTGTATTTGTCATTTTGCAGTAAAATAACAAAATAATAATCAGTTATCTAGTTTAGCCATTTAATATAACTATATTTGCCAAAATATTGTTGATTAATGGAATTCAATTTTTAATTCATTAATGAACATTTAATTCTCATTCATTTAATTAAGAAACATTTAATTCTCGAAATATGGTCAAGAAATTACGGCAATATATTAAAAGTTCATTAATCGAGGTCTAAAGTACCAGGGACATCAAGAAATAATTCTCATGGTAAGTTTGAAAAATTTGTGATTTCTTAGCGAAACCTAGGGCTGGTCAGAGGGTTAAGAACAAGCACAATAATTTCTCTAACTTATTATTCCAGTGCAATGTACTGCTATTATTTAATTTAAGCTAAATTTAAGCTATGGTAGTATTATAACTATAGGTGCAATTTTTGACCATCGATTCAGGCTACAGACAGATTTAACTTTAATATATCTTTTTCATAAGCCAGGTACCATCAGTACTGAAAACCATCTTACAAAAACAATGCATCTGAATAATACTTTTAAAATCTAGCTACAGTGTCAGAATAATTATAACATCTTTTTTTTTTATTATCAAATGCATAATTGTTCACTAGAAAGTGTTGATGAAAGATATTATTCTGGAAATATATCAAAAATATTTAATAATGGATTGTAATATTGTTTCTTCTTAAATTTACTATATCTTAGAATTTATGCTCTAAACTGTAGCAGAATTTGTAGAAGTATTTTATGTTAAAAGTTAAACAAAAAGCATATAATATATATAATTAACTATTGACAATTATAATATAATTAACTATTGACAATTATAACTGATATAATTAACTATTGACAAAGCAATTATTTTTTCACTTCAATGGTAGCTTTTTATTAATTTGCATATATATATTTTTAAACACAGTTTTAAAATTTTAGTTAATCTATAGGTTAATTATTATTTTTTTTTTAGAAACCAGGTGGTATGTTATTTCCTGACAAGGCTACCCTTTTTGTTTGTGGCATAGAGGATAGACAATACAAAGATGAAAAAATTTCTTGTAAGTTTTGTTATATCTATTTTTATATGTTTTGCTTTGTTTTTAATACCTTTTTAAGTATTAATTGTTTTTATTTTTAGGGTGGGACAGTGTATACGGCTTTAACATGAGTTGTATACGCAAGGTTGCAATTACTGAACCTTTAGTAGATGTAGTGGATCCTAAGCAAGTAGTGACCTCCAGTTGCATACTGAAGGTAGCGTTTAATCAAATGCTGTTTTCATTTCATAATAATGGTGTTGACTTTTATATTATAAAAGGATTGTTGTGTAGATTTTTGGATAGTATTTAGTTTGTATTTAATAAATATTATTCAGTATTTTGTTGGATTTTAATATTTTATGCATTTTTAATAGATTAGGATAAGGAATGTAATGATATTGTTACGAATTGCCCAGCTGTGCTAAGATAGCTTCCATGCAAAGCGGGATTAGGGTAGCCAGATTTGGAACGAAATCACTCATGGTGACAAATTTGGCGATATGCAATAAACGAAGTCAGAAGATTCTATAATGAATTCTTACTGCTTTTCCCGAGAATGTTCTCAAAGGCAGGTCAAAAGCTATATATAACTTACCTGTATGCGGAATAGAATAGTACATTGAGAGCATCGAGAGTATGTTGAGTTCAGTAGTAGTGTCTTGAGTTCAGAGATTAGCTCGAGAACGATCGACTTGCTTTAGCACTTTGCTCTGAAGCTGTCTTCACCATTGTAGCCTGAAGGCTGTGTTACTGATTGTTTCAGTGTGTAGTTTTTGATTGTAGTTTTTCAACGAGTGTAAACATATCTTTGAAACTCTCCTGTGTAATATTGGCAAATAAATTGTGTTTTGATTCATCATCAAGTGTTGCAATCAGTCACTCCAAATCCGCGAACCCGTAGAGCGCAGCAATATGAAAGGTTAAAAGCAGTTCTATTCATAGCCATGAAATAATTAACTAACTAATTATGAGCCGCTGCAATACCGAAGGGCCCAAGTTTGAATCCTGGCGAAGGCATGGATGTAAATTGTCTGTTCCCTTGTGGGAGGTAACAGTGGCCACTTATTAGGTACTTCCATAATAAAATGACCACCACCTCTGACCTTCATAGTGACTAAAGCCTAAAAATGCCCACCATTAAAAAAATAACTAATATTATTACAGTCAAAAGTCTTTAATTCGGACGTCCATAATCTGGAATAATGTATAATCCGGACATCAAAGCTACAAACTTTCTGTGCATGCGTAAACACACTCATGTGCGTAATACCTTTATGCATGCGCATATGCGTTTACGCATGCGCATTTAATGTATAACCGACGGTATAAGCTAAGCTAAAATTATCTAATATTCTATTTCAATTAATGTTGCAGATTGCATTGTTCCTTAATCTTCGAATTGGATTTGGCTTATTATTTTTTGCAGACTCTTAGAGCAATTTTATAAAAGTAAGCTTGAACTTTCGATTATGTCAAATAGAATTTCCGATGCTGGAGCTGCCAAAGGATCTACAAAGCGAAAGCATGTTTCGATGTCCATCAAACAAAAGTGGAATTGCTGCAAAAAATGGATAAAGGCATATCCTTTGTTTCTCTAACCATTCCGAAATCTGTTTATCAATTTCACACTGCTCTGCGGGGGGGGGACGTCGCGGCGCGCAATGAACTGGAAGTTGATCTGTCAGCACTATCCTTATCTTCAGGGCAGATGTTTTTATTTTATTCGGCTTATAATTCCTTACTAAATGTAGTATTTCATCTCGATGTACTCCGTCTTTGATATGATTTAAATCAAATTCCTCGTCATTATAAATATCACGAATACACATCAAATAGTTTTCTGGTTGCAATTTTCTAATTTCGACTATGCGTAATGTATGCTTTACGCATGCGCGCATTGAAAGAAATGTTTAATAAAGTAAACAAATAAATATTAAGTCCTTTTTTTTCGTAAATTTTGATACCCTTTAGATCACAATTGCTATTTATTTCATAAATTACGATTTCATATTTTTAATTGTATAATTTCTGCATGCCATCTTACCAGATTTAAACTGATGATCTATAATCTGGAATTGCCGAAGTCCCGACGAGTCCGGATTAAAGACTTTTGATTATTTGTGTGTGTGTGAACTGTATCTCTGGTGGCAATACTACATTGCATAAAAGGTGTCTTAATGTTTTCAATCTTGATATGCAGTAAGCAATCTTACTGATATTCAGTTTCTTATCTTGGTTGACAAATAGTTAAAAACTGTAGCTTAGTTTTCTAAATGAAACCAGATTAGAATCTTATGTTAATTTCTTGGCCCAGTGCATGATTTTTTCTTATATGGTATGAATACAAATGAAGTTCATTTTTTATATTGAGTTAATATAGAATTGAATTTATATGCAAGTTTCTTATTTAACTAATTATTAAGTGTAGTAAATTGCACTTATATTTTATTGATGGCTATTGCTATGACTTGTAATTAGGGATGATGTTATTATTTTACATAGGATAGCATTAAATATTTTTCCATCCTGAAAATGCGAACTGAAGTTTTGTACTCAATATCTACTGTTAAATATATATTGGGTCTTCAGTTATAGAGTAAATGGCATAAATTATGGAATATATATATATATATATATATGTAAGATAAATATGTAAATTAGTTTTATAATTTAATTTAGTAATAGTCTCTTAATTCCTCATTTTTTATTTGGTTATTTCCTCTGTGTATTCTAAAAATAACTTTTCTGGACTGAACCATTTCTAGATTAATCTATCTCACATTGCTTCAGTGACACTGCTGATATAGCTAATTCAGAACCTGAACTCAAAATTTTGAGAATTACAACCTTTCTAACCTAAACTCAAAGTCTTTATCTTGGCGAGCTTCCACATAGGATAATTGCACAATTAGTTTCTGCCTCACTTCTTATTAAGACGTTGCTTCTGTGCTCTCTTTCTATCGCAATGGTATAAAAAAATTAAATATTCTGCAAATAGGGACGATTAGAGTGCCAAAGTAATTGTGGCCACAGATGTCAATTGAAATAAAAATAAAGATCTAATCTACCTTGACTTGCTGTTCCTTACTTATTCAAAATTTTAGCATTCTACATAATCAGAATTTCTGTATTTCTATGTCTCACTGTCCCTACATTAGTACTTCTAATTTTGTTTTTTTATTTGTCTGTGTGTAAGATAAAAATATGTAAACTTTAATTGGCAGAACTTCCTTTTGATCTTCATTTTAATTTGGGTACTTCTCTCTGTCCTAAAATAAATAACTCTTTATAATATAGCAATATATGTACCTCATTTCAAAATTAATTTTCTTCATACAACCTTGCATAATGCAGCAATGCAGGTATGTTATAGCCAGTTACTTTTTGGAGAAGTAAAACTTTTTATCCCCTATGCTTTCTACTGAATGTGTTGCATTTAGTTTCCTGCTTCACTGTTGTCCAACTTGCTGCTGCCAATGCCTACTTTCTTCAATAATGTATTTCTTAGATTTCAAGACACAGTAAGACCCATTTGACCTGTATTAGCTTAAGGAAAAATGTGTCAACCATGATTGAAAAGAAAACAATATGGCCATGTCTGCAAGTCCCCTTCTTTGTTATGCATCTTACTATGCTATCACTATCACACACACACACACACACACATATAAATATGTAAAATATAAAATCTCGCATTTAAATAATAAATTAATAGGCCTTTAACTCCTGTCTTCATTCTAAAATAACAGAGCAATAATTTTCTAACTAAATGAAAAAGGTCCATCATTTAATATGTATTGTGTACTTATCGATGAAATTTGATCCCAACACTTATACATTAAGCTGTCATGTAATCTGAAATGGAATTCATATTAAAAGCTTAATTACGTCGCATCTCCCTCTTCTTCTCTTCGCTCGTCTCTTCTATCTTCCCTTCTGCTGCCAGATGCTTGCGTTGCCTTGCTGATATCCATGCAGAGTTTACTTTTCTAATTTTCATCCTTTAAGAAGATGTAAGCTGTATAAAAAATTGGGTGGTGCATAGTGTGCCCATAGCGATAATGTGAATTATCGAAGAATAAAATTATTTGTGTGGCCATGTCTGCAAGTATTTCTTGGTTTATGCATTCATCGTCCTTCAAGTTATGATGGTGTCCTTTCAAACGACAATCTGTTGTAACTCTCACAAAGTCATCTTATTCCAATAATAACACAGATTTATCACAATAATGGAGCAGTTTTATTAATAGGGGGACCGGAAAGTAATGTCGTTTCTGCGCATGTCGACAACAACTTGCTAAGGGCAGAAGTGGAAGCAAATCCATGTGAAACACTCTTAACCAACCTTGGTCGACCATCCAAGAACATTTAAAGCAGAATGGAAAAATAAGCAAAGCAGGTGCTCGAGTCCCCCATAATCTATCTGAAAAGAACAAAGCCAACCTATCCATTACATGCAACATATTGCTTCAACGACACCATACAGAACTGTTTTTTGATCGATAATCCAAAAGGCAGTTTTAATAGGGGTTACAAAAGATTTACATCCTGAAAAGGCACTTCTGGGTGTTTAATGGAGTATTCGCAGAATTGTTCATTTTCAATTGCTGAAACCTAGACGAGCTGTTAATGCAGACCTTTATTGTGAACAATTGGATGGAGTGAACCAATCTTTAATCAAAAAATATCAATTGTCAACAGAAAAGGCTTCCTTCTGCAACACGACAATGCAAGACCGCACTGTGCAAGACGAACATTGGAAAAAATTAATGAATTGAGGTGGGAGGTACTGCCATACTCACCCACCATATTCGGCCGATATCGCAGCACATATATATATATATATATATATATACACACAATGAAGAGCCAAAACATTATGACCACCTACTCAGCAATATGTTGCAACCTTTGGCTTGCAAAACAGCTGCAATTTGCCTTGACATAGATGCTGAAGTTCTTGGTAGATGACTGGAGACAGGTTTTACCAAATGTCTAAATAGTGGTAACGCAAAGTCGAGATATTCCGAGATGGTGGTGTTTGAGCTCTGAGCTGGGGAAAAGTGCAGAATCACCCACTGCTTGGCGCATTTTTCAAAATCGCCAACTTGGCACGCTCTTACATCTTGTCTCCTGGATTTGCAACCCCTCCAGAAGACACTACGCAAGGTGCGACATTTACAATGGCGAACAGGTAAAATAAATACAAAATAAAAGTTGAAGCAAAATTTTGAAAACTGAAAATCCTTTAAAAACAACATAATAATTTTAAAAAACAAACATGGTTAAGAAAACTTAAAATCGTTACAGAACCCTGAAGAATTAAAATACATTCACCTATAAAAAAATTGGGGAAAGTGCAGAACCACCCACTGCTTGACGCGTTTTTAAGAATTGAACAAACTGGGTATCCATGTACACATTGACCTATTTTCATTTAAAAAAGAAATCCCAGAATTGTACAAAAATGGCATTGCGCACTCTCTCGACTTTATCCATGTACACATCGACCTATTTTCACTTAAAAAGTCAAAGAAAATTGACAAAAATCCAATTCTTCTTAGTCTTGTAAAAAGCGCCAAACAAATAAGTGCGAAATTTTTAAAACTGGAAGTCCTTTCAAAAAACATAATAACTTTAAAAACTAAAATTGTTTCAAAAACATAGTAAGTTTAAAGAACATAAAATTCTTACAAAACCCTGAAAAATTAATACTTTCACTTCCAAAAAAAGTTTTAAAATATGAAAATCCAGTCCTTACAAAAACATAATTTTAAAAACTAGAAATCGTTTCAAAAACATAGTAAGTTTCAAATACTTAAAATCGTTACAAAACACTGAAAAATTAAAATACTTTCACTTACCTGAAAAGGGGTAATCCACTCCGCTCAGCTGACGAACGAAAAGTAACGAATTCTCAAAATGTTCTTGAATTATTGTTTAAAATAACTGCACCTCTACCATCTAGTGTCTTCTACGCTAATCAGAAATTCTAAATTTTCAAATACAGAGTGAGCACGTGCGAAAATGCTCCGAATTTCGTGCTCAAAAGAAATTTTCAATTTAAAATACATATTGCGCATCTGCTAAAATGCTCTGAAATTCGCCTTCCAGAACGATAATATCGACTTTGGATACCCCATTTGGTGCACTTATCAATCTCGTAAAAAGTACCAAACACAACACCCAAATTAGTGGGCGATTCTGCACTTTATCCCTGAACTGCTGTTCCATGACATCCCAAATGTGCTTTATCGGGTTAAGGTCCGAAGAGTTAAATGGCCAGGACATTAATTGGAATTCATCCTTATGCTCCTCGAACACAGTTTGAGCCTTGTGACTTGGGGCATTGTCCTGCTGGAAGATTCCATTTCCAGTTGGGAAGACAGACGCCATGTGAGTGTGCAATTGATCTGCAGTTACGTTCAGATAGTCCGCAGCTTTCATAGTCTGTTCTATTGCAACTAAGGGTCCCAGAGCCGCCTTATAGCATAATACTGTTACCACCAGCTTTGTATAACTTTTTGCTATACAGAGAGAACAACTTTTCGTCTGGAAGATGGCGTACCATGATGTGGCCATCAATGTGGTGAATGAGAAATCCTGATTCATCCCACCAGACAACTGTATTTCACTTATTCATTGTCCAGTCTTGGTGTTCCCGGCCTACTCTAGGTGTAGCTGACAATGACACTTGGTAAAGAGAAGCATACGAGTGAGAGGTCTGCTGCAAAGTCCCATATCCAACAGTGTCCATTGAACTGTGTGTTCCGAAGCACTTGCATTTGGACCTGCATTGTATTGGGCTGTCAGCTGAGCAACTGTTTGGCATCGATTTTGCTGTACCGAGTTGCACAGCCTGCAACGTCCTTTTTCTTTAATGACATGTCGACATCTAACACCTTGGCATCTACTACTGGTTTCACCATCGTTTATCCACTTTGCATAAATACTAACAACGGCAGATTGTGAACAACGTACTAGTCATACGGTTTTGGAGATACTCATTCTGAGTCTTCTGGCCATAACAATCTGCCTCTATCAAATTTGCTTAGATCAGCAGCCTTTCCCATCACTAGCAAAATGTAAGAATGATTCCTTACCTTCTCCAACAGCAGTTAAATACCATTCGCAATGCATCAATGGCTCTCCACATCATCCAGATGCTTAATAATGATTCCTTACCTTACCTTCCTAGTGATTCCTTACCTTCTCCAACAGCAGTTAAATACCATTTGCACTTAATCATGTGCTCTCCATATCATCCAGACGTGTTCATTGAAAAATGTAGAGATTTTCAGAATGTTTTCTCTCCTCAGTGTATAAATTTAAATTTTAATTAACTTTAAATTTATTTTTACAAATAGTTTGTTACAAATGTTTGTTAAATTTATATATAGGTTTTGCATTATTTAGCAGCTAAGTTTATATTGTATAAAATAATGATATGCTTTTTTATTTTTATAGGAAATTGATTTATATACAGTCAAACCTGAAGACGTACCTTTTAAAACACCATTTCTTCTCTCTGTGCAAAGAGATGATTATATCCAGGCTTTTGTCACATTTTTCAATGTTGAATTCACCAAATGTCATAAACGAATTGGTTTTTCTACAGGTAAAGTGTATAATATTAATATGAAATAATACTGAGAAAATATAAGCTTTTAATCTTGGTAAATATTGCGAGTTTGTATAAGTGAAATGATTACATTTCAGGGTTCATACGATCCTTAAGAGTCCTTAAAAGTCCTTAATTTTGGCCAAAATCGGCAGAAGGTCCTTAATTTTAATCATCTGAAATTTCTGTCTGTTTTTACGACTACCATTTTGAGTGTGAATTAGCATTTTGCAGAAATATTTTTGGCGATTCACTGATAAATATGGCTATTTTTTGAATGGGTTCATGAGTTATAATTTGTTCTTATTTGTAATATCAATAATGGTGAGATACTCGAATTCTGAGCAAGAAGTGAAACATAAGCATTTCAAAATTATTTCATTTTTTGTAATAAAGAGCTCTCAAACAACTTTCCGTTTTTGGGGATGTAAATTCTTTTATTAAACGGTTCTAAATTTGGCGATTATCAACATTTTGGCGTTTTTTAAGATCGATTTCTATAGAAAAATTTTAATTCCGAGATCTGGGAATTTTTTGACGATTTTTTAGAACATTCTAACATTGATAAATTTCATTAAAATAATGGTTATATATTGGAATTATATTTAAGAAATAACAGTAAAATAAAGCATTTTTGTTTTTCAATGTCATGTTAAAAAGTTCCATTTTGGCCACATATTATACAATTTTTTGAATTTGAAAAATAAGTAAGGAATAATGCTATAAAGCACAGTTTACAAAACAGTTTTTAGCAAAAGCAAAATAGCTGTGTAATTAATTAAAAATGGCTTTTAAATTTTTTCATGGTAAGAATTTTTCCCATTTCTCTGGGGACCGACAGTATTAAAATTAAAAAATAAGTATAGTCTCAATGAAATGTGATCAAATCTAGTTTTAATGAAATTTATTGAAACATTCTAAACAAAAATACGGCTTAGCTTTACACATATTACAATATGAAACAACTAATTTGGTAACATTTTTGGCTATCTTGCATCCAAATAGTTTTGAATTGTCATCATAACATTTCGAACAATACTTTCGGACTTTATTTGCGTCTAATTCCTTTTTGTATAATTTATGAATAATTTAAGTCGGCAATATTATCTCAATATTGCCGCCAGCTCATCGCTGCCAGCTGAACGGAAAGGATAGCAAATTTTGCGCCGGGCTCAGCGTATTAAACCTTTGTCGTGGTCACAAGGTAAAACACAAAAATATAAAAATTCATGTGAAACTTATTGTTTGCATCTAGTGAGACTTAATGCAAAACAACTTATCACCGCTAATGCTTTAGTGGCTTAATCTTAAAGTATATTAACTGAGTTACAACCCCTGGAATTCTACATGAAGATACGACACTAACAGCATCAGACAGAGGTCAGCTAACTTTCAAAGCTTGCTAACTGTACCTATATCAGGCCTTTCAGGTTTGTTGTGATCAGAAAGGCCTCTCTATGGGCAAGCAGGAGTGGTGACAACAGCCAGTCTTTTGTTATAAATCATGCTGATTATGATTTTAATGCTCATTTTAACCTATGCTGCTTGACATAAAATCTACTTTCTATTTACTAAACCTCTGAGACTGAGCAAGTATGTGACAAAATGAGACAATAATAATAAAAAAAAATACTTGCTGTTAGTAAAATGTAACTAAAATGTCACTTATCTTCTTTCAAATATGTCCAGTTATTATGAGTGTAAAATACTATTTAATGCTACCTGATAAATTTCATAAAATTAATTTTATTCTCAAACATACTAATAATTATTTTAATTAAGTTATGTTTAATAATAATGCATCCTACTCTCGTTCAGGTATAGATATAATATTTTTAATTGAATTTATTCAGTTTCCATTTGCTCATAGGTCCTTAATTTTTTTCATTAATGGTCCTTAAAAGTCCTTAAAAGTACTTAATTTCCTTGTGCAGAAATGTGTACGAACCCTGATTTGTATATTTAAATTCTTTTTTAGCTATGAACTGCACATTTCAAACTACCGTTTTTATGCTGATTATGTAATCTGAGTAATATATATTTACAGGCAGATTTTCTTTATATTGTACATCAGAGTGTTATTAACCCTTTGAAGGGAACCGGTATATAATATATCCCACATGTTTGTCAATTTTTTAACCTCTGAAAAAAAAAAAAAAAAAAAAAAAATGCTAATTTCTCAACACTAAGAGCTATAATCGTAAGTTTGTAGTGTTTCCTTTTGATTCTAAATGGCAGCACCACCCTATGAATGTTCAATATTTTATGAAATTAATATACCTCGTTCCAAGGTATCATGTTTGAAGATTGATAAATTCTATTGGAGGGAAAGAAAAAATTCTAAATCTGTAAATATATGATGTACATATGCTGAACCTTTTATATTTACTGCATTTCAATCAAAACTGATAATTAAAAGAAGCTTATGTATATGTTTTTAATACAAGTATATAATATATACTGGTGCCTCTACTGAGGGTACTTTGCCAATAGATGGCAGCACCAGGCTTCTCCTTCTCTACTGTGTGAGATGACAGCATTTATTTACATTATGATAGTACTTGATGTAATAATTTGTTTATGATTAACTTAAAGTTGTTTAGAATTCAGTATGTTCGTGAAGGGATGGGGAATTTACTGACCCTGCACTAAGACTAAATACAAGTATATTTGTTTCTTTTTATTCTTTTTTTTACTCTGCTTGAATTTCGTCTCTATTTAGCTAAAATTTTAACTTCAGCACGTCACCCTTTCCCAAGAGAATTGAATGTGGAATGTTAGCCCCCAAAAGATGGCCATTGCTTCGTGTTTTCCAAAATCCTAGATTCCATCGAAAATGAATGGAGGTGATTGACAACTGATTTATCATTTGGGAGTCACGCCTTCTTCCTCTTCTTCCCTTCCTTTCAAAAACAAAGTTTACTTAAAAATACGGGACATGGAAGTGCACTTAAGGTCCATTTCTTAGTGTAATCACAAAAACTAGTGATTTGAAAGCATGCTCTGATTCTTATCGTCTTTGTTAATTTCAGATGAGAGACTAGGGAACACAAGAGAAATTTAGAGTTAGGTTACAAGTAGGTTGTTTTTGAAATAAATTTCACAGTTGGGGAAATGAGGGAAAATATTTCTAAGGCCTGTTTTATATTCAAACTAGAATTTATCCAAAAGTTGAAAAAGGAGTCCCTAGGAGGCCAAAGGGGTTGAAAATCGAAGTAAGAGCTTTGAGGTGTATAAAATAATACAGTTGTTTAATGGCGTTTCTTCCTGAACAAAAAGATATATTACAACCTATATTTACAAAAAATAAAAAAGTGACCCTTATGGTTCTCAATAATCTAAAGTGTGTGTGCGTGAGGAGGGTGGGGGGCGATTCTTGGTATCATAGCATGAACCATGGTTTTTTTACATATTATCTAAAGTGTAAAATATTACTTCAAAAATGCAACATACTTTCTCATGTGAGTCGTAGTGTTTCATTTTTCAATTTTTTTTTTTATTTTTCGTCTGTTATATCTCCTTGTAATATTATACTAGTTCAGTTACAGCATGATACGATTTACGCATGCAGTGTCATATTTGCTAATTTTTTTTATAAAATTTTATGTCATATTTGCTAATTTTTTATAAATATTGAATTTAAATCAAGTTCAAAAGCTTATCCATATTTTACACAAGTATGTTCAGCTAGCTTGTATCATCAAAGTGCATAAAAACATAAATTTTATTTTTAAAATTTTAAATTTAAAAGTTTTTCAATTTCAACTTTAAAGTTTATTCCTTAATAGCTATAGCACCCATCTCTACAGCTGCACATCAAAAGTACACAAAATTATATTAAAAAACAAAAATTAACAATTGGCAGCTACCTGGGGAAAAAAATGTCTTAGAAGGGCGGCGGTATAAAATATATACCGGCTCTCAAAATTTAGGATTTCGCTCTAGATTTTTTTTAAAGTCTAAATTTTGTGTCCTTAGGGTCCATAATTTATAGTTCATGCAAAATTTTACCACAATTTAAATTATTTTATATACTGCCCCTCAAAGGGTTAAACATTATTTGACTTTGATTATGTAATATTGTTTAGGATTTGACGTGAATGCAACAAATTATGGGGGGAAAAAATTGCTGTTCTTTCACAATTTCTAGGAATAGCACATTTTCTAGGAATAACAAGAATTTTACTGAATTCTTAATTATCTATGCTACTAAGTGTGAAGAAAATTCAGAAATGGTACAATTTATATTCAGGTATCTCCCGCATATCTGCTGGTAATTCTTATCAGGGCATAGTGTGGATATGTGAAATTATGGATAGCAGTGAATGCTATGTATAGAGTGATCACAAAGTCTCATTACTCCCTATTGTGTGTTCACATAATGGTCCCATTGTATTTATGTGGGATCATAACATAAAACAACTTTGAGGTAATGTGAGTGTAGTGTGTGAACGTTTATTCCTACATCATCATTTTCATAACAAAGTATGTTTCTCCTCCATGTATGATGTGAAATTAACTATCACTCATTTCGTTTACAAATGAAAGTTTAAATGCCTTTATTACAAATCCTTCATTATATGTTTTGTAATGTTGAGAATGGAACACGCTCTTGTGATGACCACTTGTGAATAGACATGTTTTGGTGAACATTCAATAGACACTGCAACCTCCAAACACATTTTCAATAATGTTGGTGGTCGTCCTGAAGCGAGGCTTATCTTTTATGCAGCCAGTTGCAGACAGCTTTCCTCTCACTGTAAAGTTGTTGGTTTTCAAGGGGAAGATTCCTGAAACCTTACAGTGAAATCATGCTGAATATCTCTTATTAATTTTCCTGTATAGGGTCATTCATAAGCACTAGTGCTCCTTATGACTCATTCCTTCATGGTGTAAGTGGATTCATCAGCCATGCTTTAAATGTATGTTAGCATTTGCAGCAAAAAGAAATAATAATTCATTAACATCTGTGTAATACATATGATGTAACTGGACTT